GGGCAGCCAAAAAACCATGACCAAAATGAAAGCACGAAAAGGCTTTTTCTTTTCTTAACACAACTTAATGTGCTGAAGAGCTGACGGAGAAAGCCCATAGCCACGAGGACCTGCTGTTCAGTGAAGAAAAGGGGGAACCTGAGCACCGGGACTTGGGGTGGCGAACCACACAAGGCCCCGGAAGCTCAGGTGTGGTATTGAACTGGACGACAAAGAAGCTTCAAAATGAAGTGAACTGAACTAGAAATAGCTGTTTGACTGGTATCATTCAGCAGCTCCACAACCGTCTGTTCGTTTCTCTTGGAGTGGTGCCTACAGTTGCAGAAATTTTTACCCCAATATCACATCTTGGCTGCCTGTCTTTAGATTCCATTTTCAATAATCTTCCGATAGTAACACAAATCCAAAAAATTTGACCTTCTCTCTCGTGATAAGCGACTCATCAAGCCCAAATTCTTTGTACCGTACAAAGCCTAAATACATCCCACCCTAACATTCAGTAGCCACCATCGTGACAGAGCCTCAACCTATCTTGCATCTAAGTGAATGTTCAGATTAACGCTATCTGCCACAATGGTGGCACAACGCTGAATACTTCTATGCAGTCACTAACCCACTGTGTTGCTGCTGCTTAATTCTTCATTTGATTGCTGCTATACTGTGTAAGCAGAGCGGTTTGAGATTTTTTTGTTCATGTTCAGGCTGAATCAACGAGCTACTAACCACCGGAAAGCACCGAATTAAATGTAAAGACATCATNATGAAAAAGGGAGAGATGGGCACCGCGAGGAACACTGCTTTCAATACTGAACTCAAGCGGAAAAGTGACCTCAAACGCAGCTTTAGCTATTTGAAATTGATAAACCCACTTTTCCAGCATGCTGTTCCACGAAACACTGCTTCAGGAGACAACACGACCGACCGAGTCGAGGGCCACCTGAAGATAGAAACAGTGCATCTATGAAAGAAATATGTTACAGAAATTCTCGGAGGATGAAATATGGTGGATTCCTTGCGGCTCATGTATAATAACAGCATGATTCTCTAGCGTGCGGAGCATCACCCTGCGAGGATGATGAAGGTAGTTCCCATTTTAGAGGAGAGGACTGGCCGCGTTCCTGTATAGATTAACAGCATATGTTCCGGATTCATTCGCGTTTCAAAAGTGGAACCTAGGATTTTCATTAAGCCTCCTAAACTACCAATTCGATGGGCATTGCAATTGCCAAATGCGTCATTTGAGTTGATGACGAGAATACCAAATGGTAAAACCATGCGCGAAATGTAGGGAGGGCTTACAACTGGGACTACAGGTTGAACATAGATGCTGATTGCTAACTTCACTTACTCAAGGGGTGATTTGCCAAAACAATCGAAACGGAAAAAGTTGGGATAACCAGTTGCATTGGGCTCGGGCAATACACGTATCAGGACATGCACTCCCACCGGTTTATCGTTAAACCTGATGACCGTTAACTCTGTGCTTCAACGCGCTCAAGTCATCACCTCAGATGGAGGTAGACAGCTTTACTACCGTCCGGTTCAATACCACGCCTAGCGGGACCTTAAGTGGTTCGCCACTCCGAGCCACCCAGCTTAGGTTACCGGTTTCCATGACGGAGCAGCAGGTCTATGCGGTTCGCCCCATCTGCTGTTCACCACACAAATGAGTGAAAAACTTCAGATAGACATTTTTGTGTGAACTCGTTATGAAATAACGGAAGCTTCGTGGAACAGATCCTGTTCGGTCCCCTGAAAGTGGTGACTGCTACTTCCTAAACGAAATTTCACTATTCCCGAGTGGCTCTTCTCAAATAGTATTGCATTTGGAATGCTAGATCGCTAGTGACTTGGCGAAGAACAACACACTCACTTCCACACGTTAGTACCATCTTGTTTTCCGAACAGTTGCCTTCAGTAATTATTAATCAAACCAAGTGTAGCATTTAAGATCATATATCAGATTTCCCTGCAGCCGGACACGTTAACCACTGCGGAAGGCCCATCCACCAACCCCCCACTCCCCCGACTGCTCAATTCCAGCGTTTTACCTCCCATGGACTCACGAATCCGCCCC